TATATATATATACTTTGGATGCGAATCAAGGTCCACAGATGGCTAATATAGAGGCAAATATGAAAATTGCATAAGTAGTGTTTTTCATAATTGCATTTATCGGAATATTTGAAAATTCGATACCGATACTTGCTCTAAGAAGATCGAAAGAGCTTCGAAATCCAACAACTGCATTTATCGTGAATCTGTGTATTGCTGATTTGATTTATTGCCTGTTGATGGTAATCAACTTGCAATAGAGCTTGATTAGAATATAAAACTTGAGTGGAATCAAAACTACTATATTTGTCTTTGGAGTGCAATGGGGAAATATTTCACAGGTGTAGAAGCAGTTAATCTAATGGTTGCAATCACCATCAATAGGTACATCAGTGTAGTTTATCCAGTATTATATCGCTCCGTGTACAGTTCAAAATATCTAGCTTTACAGATAGCTTTTACCTGGATTTATTCCTTAACTCTATCGCTAATTCCGTTCTTTGAAGTTTTGGGAAGCTATCGTTATGATCTTAGTAAAGGACTTTGCCTTATTCTATGAACGCTGAAATTGCCCATAATATTTTTATTATAACTGCATTTGCTTCCCCAACACTTGCATTTGTAATTTTCAATCTAAGAATCTATTGGGTAGTACACAAGGCTTCGAAAAGAGCTCGAAAATCCAACATTTCAGCAACTCCATCACAATTCCATCACTGCAAAGGAGCTAGTAAATTCAATCTTTCAGCAAACAAGATTAGCAAATGTGAGAAAGTGTCAAATCCTCCAACAACTCCAGCAGTGCTAAATGCGACTTCAGAAGAAAATTATTTCAGAGGAAAAAATACATCACATCATTTAGATGATAAGGAATCGAAACTTCTAAAAGTTATGTTAGTGATCGTTGTGGCGTTTATAATTTGTTATTTTCCAAGCACATTTGTTAAAATATACGACAGAGAAGCAGAGATGCCACTTTTTTCACTTTTCTCTCATTTCACTGTTAATTTATCAAATGTAATTAATCCTATTATATACATTGCAATGAGTGCTGAATTTAGAAAAGCATACTTAGGATTATTATTGTGTAGAGAAATCTGGTATGTACACCCTAAAAACTGTACCTCTGATTTCAGAGGCACAGGCTAAATGTACCGTGTATTTTCTCGCGTAAGAGGCACATAACTAATGTGCCTTTAAAAATGAGAGGCACGACGAGAAATGAAAGGCACCAAAGCAAACGCCAGTC